CACTTGAACTCAAGGCTCTGCGCTTGCTAGGTAGGCGCTTACCCACTTGAGCCATGCCCTAGCCCCCTCTGAAGAAATATTTTAAGACAGTTTGCCAAGCAAATGTTTCTTGACAGCTGACCATTAATTTTGTTTGTTTGTGGTACTGGGATTGAACCTAGGACCTCTTATGCTAAGCACATGCTATACCACTAAGCTATATCCCCAGGCTGACCATTAATTTTAAATGTGCTGGTGGTGAACTTCCCTATAAAACCAAAGCTAAGGTGCTGTCAAATGAACCTCAAGTCAGCATATTTGTGGGTCTGACAGAAAAGTTCCATTTTTGACTGATAGAAACACACTTCTTTAGGGTAAAAGACAGACTGATCTTTAAAATTTTATTTACTCAGCAAACAAACCCTTAAATACTGGGATGAAAACCACTAATTTAGTACAATACCGAAAAACACTTAATGTACTCTTTCTACATTCTTTTACCAGATCATAAAAATTTAAGCGTCTTGAGGATAGGAACATTAGATGTGATAGTGAAAACAAAACCAAAAGAAGTAAAACACACTTGATGTGATCTGAACACTGTAGTTATCTCCTACCTCTCTGAACATTTAGTGCTTGCTTTTTACAAAATCCATTTCGTTTTTCCCTTTTAAATGTCTATTAAAAGTTAACAGCTCACAAAGTAATGGCTAATGTGTATAAAGCACTGACTCTGCTCCATTGCACATGTATTACACTCTTTAATGCACACAAGGACAGTAGGAGGCGTCACCTATTTTACACTTGTGGCAACAGCCCCTGGAGGCACAGGCTAGTAAGTGAAGAGATGGATTTCAAACTAAAAGGTCGGTTCCATTTCCCACACAACTTTTTTGAGGGAACTGTGAAAATGACTAGGTGTTTTATTGTGCCCGGTGCATTTCATGCGTGAGGGCCATGTTCAGTCTTAGCATTCCATCACTTTAGGAATCCATGTGATTTACTGGTATGCAAATTATTTTTTTTTAAAAATCATAGTATTTTCACAAGAATGTGAATTCTGATTGTTTTGGTTCTGATTGGTTTTTGATCTGTCAAATATCTCATCTTGTTGTTGGAGTTTTTAGATTTTTGGTTTTTAGACAGGGTCTCATTACATAGTCCAGGCTGTCCTCGAATTCATGTTCCTCTTGCCAGTGCCTTTCAGTGCTGGAATATGGTTCATCTTGTTGGTTTTAACGAACTACCTACTTACCAATAATCTTTGGATCTCGATTTTGTCACTCACTTTAGTCTATCCCTCTCAATTTCCAGTCATCTACAAATTCTGAAAGCAAGTCCTCTTTTTTAAAGTTATTTTAAATAATGTGCCGTGACAGTGTCAGCATCCTCCTGGCAGATGGGGAGTGCACTAAGGCACTCTCAGGGGAAGTGGAGCTAAAGCAGCAAGCAGCCCCTCTGCCACCCCATCAGCCAGGACTGAAGTGGAGTCTGGAAGAAGCAGTGACAGGACATGCTCTCCCCACTGGATCTGGAGACAGGCTGCTAAGTGCCAACTTGTAAGACTCTGAGTTGTCAGGTTTTGTGTCCTGTCAAGGAAGCCCCACATTAGTTTCAGGTGAAAAGTAAGACAAAAACCGTGAAAGGCTTGTGGTACACGTGGGAATCCAACCCTCAGCCTGAAACACAGAGAAATTGCACCCCGCTGACAGATAAGACAAAGCCAGTTTTACCCACAAGTGTAACTGCAGTTATTGTGAAAAAGAATGGCTGAACCAAGTCACAGACACACACGGCCCAGTTGTTCAGATGCTCTGGTACCCTCAACAATGGCCCGTGGGGGAAGTAAGGGGAGCAAGGGCAAAAAGATAAAACTTCAAAATGGCCCGACAGACTGACTGGCTGGCTGGCAGTATGCGCACGAAAAGCCAAACCCAGGCGCTGGTGAGCGCAGAACAATCCCTTCTTGGTGGCCCAGGCCCACCTCCTCCTCCACACGGGCATGCCAGGGGCAGGTTGGAGAGCCGAGCCTTCCAATCTGAACGCAGTGTTCCCTCGCCTAGGAGCTGCAAACGGCGAGTCTCCCCATCTTCGGAAGCCCAATGGCACCCTCTCCGTCCCCAGTGTCCCTGGACTGCAAGCCCTCCTCCAGCGTGAACTTGCCACTTGGTGGTCATCACTGCCCGCTCGCAAAACCACCGCTTTCCCCCCAGCACCAACGAGTTCCCGAACCGCGGTGTCCAGACCCCGCCGGCCGGCATTTATTTAATAACGGACTCCGACCTAGTGGGCTGCGGTGGGGCTGGGAATCTGAACTTGAGTTTGCACCTTTCGGGGTTTTCTGCCATCAAGGCAGGCTTGGAAACAAGGCCTCAACTAAGCTTCCGGATCAACGTTTTGCCAAACCACACTGGAGTGGCCGGTTCTCCGGCCGCGCGGCCATCGTGCCAGGTGTGGAGCTCAGGCCGCCTCCCCGCCGCAGGACCAGCGTCCGGGACGAGACGGGTCGAGCGACCGGGTGGACGCCCGTCCCCGCCGCCCCGCGACCCCGGAAGGCGCAGGAACGGCGCGACGCAAGTCTCCGGACACCGAGGTCGCGTCCCGCCTCCCGCTCTCGCAGGCACGCAGGACCCGCGCTGCTGCGGGCGCGGGGGCCGGGGCGCCGGGAGGCCTCCGCTGGGCCGAGGGACGCGGCGGCTCGTCCTTCTGCGCGGCGAAGATGGCGGAGCCGGGCAGGCGGCAGAAGCAGGCCCGGAGCAGCCGCCTCAAGCCGCCGCCCTCCTTCATCGCGCCGCTTACCGGCAGCTGGGCGCGGCGCGCGCTCCGGCTCGGGCAGGTCCCCGAACAGGTCCATGGCGGAGGCCCCGCTCCACACCCTGAAGGCGCCGGCGCCATCAGTCACCGCGGCCCAGGCTTTAACATCCAGGCTTTAAACTCAAAATAACTTAAGTCAAATTCTGTTTTATATACACATGAACTATCTTAAAAAAAAAAAAACTTGGTCTATTTACTTCTCTAAGAGTCAGTTTTGTTATCCATAACGGGAATCATAGTAGCACGTACTTCAGAGGGTTCTTGGCAATGTTAAATGAGATGAGAGAGAGAAAGAGTTTAATTGTGCCAAGAACATAGTAAGCCCTCAATGTGCACTATTTTCATTTTTCAAGAATATGCTTAATATTTGCTGAGAAATACATTCTTGGATATAGGATAAATGATTGAAACTGAGACTAATTCATGTAGTTTATATATATTTCATGTTCAGAAGTTGTATAATTTCTATAATAAAGTCTTTATGGAGTTTGATGTCATTTTAATCAAATTTTGTTTATTTTCAAAGGTATTTTATTCTGAAGTCTGTTATAGAAGAGTTCTTGTGGCATTTATAGATAATGTTTGCTCAAAGACCAAATGTGGAATGTGGAATCACTGGGAGATAAATAAATCTTCATATTTGCTTCTTCCTAGCTCTCATTTTGCCTTATTTATATAATTCAGGATAAATTAAAGAGACTCCTTTGTTTCATTCATGAAATATCTTTGCTAGGCCAGTATTTTGTAGCCAAATAATTCTTTATAAAATTAAAAGCAAGACTTTGAATATAAAAGCTTTCAATGACAAATACACAACTCTCAGTTTAAGTTAGAGACTATTTTGTAAATTCTCTTATTAAGAAGGTCCAAGCAATTGCCATATGCTCACAGCAGCTGCACTATCCACAGGTGTTAAACAGAAGTTACCATTTAAGTGTCTCACCACAAGTCACACTATGGAAACTACACCCTCACTCAAGAATGGTTTAGGTGACCCCTTCTGATTGCATGGTCCTTCTTTGATTCCATGCTGAATGCTATTGTACAATGTTGTATTTCTTAACTGATTCAAAGCTAACCAACATTATCGATTCAATAACTTACCTCACAGACATAGACATGTTCAGTTTGACTCTGGGCAGGCATGATGGATATCTCTGAGATGTGAAACATGCCGATGTTTCTCAGACACTGAATTGGTCATTGTCAAATGGAGCAGCTTGTTGGGCCAGCTAAATTCATTCAGCCTATGTAAAGATCTGCCTATATAGCATGTGAATGTAGATTTTCCACTTGCAAAACGCCTTAGAAATTTCAAAAGATTGAGTGGCTCGAGTCATCCCTCCAGTCACTGCCTGGTTTTATCTGATCAGCCAATCTTTTACAGACACAAGAGTGGTCACCACTCACAGCATTTAAGCACTGGCTACTCCTTTCAGATCATCAGCGCTTTGAAGCTTTGTGAGAGTCCATCTTTAATTTAGATAAAATATTTTACTCTGTAGATTCTGTAATACATTCACAAGGATGGGTGCATTTACTTCTAGAGTCATTGTTCTTCCACTCCATGGTTTTAGAGGTGACATTTAAACAATAGTATTTTGAGCTTTAAAGTCAAGGTTAAGGAAGGAATTTCACTTCTATGGTATAGCTCAGAGTATTGAGCAGTGGGCTCTGGTGTCAGAGCCAACAAAAACAAATCACTCAAACAAAATAAAAGAGCCAAAGTATGAACCCAAATCTAATCAAATAATATGTGGCTCAGGGAGAACTTTTCAATGAGAAAAAAAAAAATCAATCCTCAACCAATATCCATAGCACACCAATGAATCAGAAAGGTTTTAAGGGATGCTGAGTGCTAAGGAAGAACTTTCACCTGGGAGTGGGTGGTTCATACCTATAAACTTAGTCACTTGAGAGTCTGAAATCAGGAGGATAGCAGTTTGAGGCCAGCAGGGAAAACAGTTCATAAGACCCCATCTCCAAAAATAACCTGAACAAAATGGACTGGAGAATGCCTGCTTTGCATGTGACTGCTTGGCAAAGCCCTGAGTTGAAACTCTAGTGTCCCACCAAAAACAAAGAAACTTCCTTCCCTTACCCTCCAATAGACTCTGAATTATATTGTCATAAAAACATTTTTTCTGAATTCTTATTACAATTAAATTTAGTAATTAAACCAGTTATTTATGCAATTATCTGCTTAATTCTTAGCACTTCTGTTGGATGTATCATTTCAAGAGGCAGGAACAAAGTATTTTTTTACTGATACACAGAAGATGACCAACATTTATTTATTGATTAATATATATTTGGTGACTGAATCTCAAGATTGACATTTCTTAGCACCTAGAATATTAGATCTAGGGCAGATATTAAATCGCAGTTGACTCTACCTCTATTCTAATATGGGAATCCTCTCTCAAAGTACTTAGTGGATGATGATCTTGCACTATGAACACTTCTTCTAATGAAGAGTCAGTAAGTAATTGAGAAACAGAGTTCTGTCACTCACACTCATTAGAAATTACTTTTGTCTAATGTCTCCTGTAACTTCTATCCATGTGTCAGTTCCAATCTCAGAAAAAATTAAAATGGAATCCATTCCTTCTATACAAAAGTACCTAATATATGGCAAGGTAGCCATGCTGTGCTCTTATAAGTCTTCCTTTCCCCAGGCTTACATCCTTGATTCTTCTGTTCCTCATACAATCTAGTTTTGATTTTCCTCACAATTAGTGTTTCTTTACTCAGTGTGTGTCCCAGTTCCACATCCATATCTCACAACACTGAAGGTAGTGTGATGCAGACATAGTAAAGTAAAGCCATTATCTTTCTTGAACTGAATCCTGTAATTTTGTTAGGGTAACTTAACTTTGCATTGTTAGTGGTATCTTAGAAACCCTATGAAGTTTAATTCTATTGGCTTGGCACATGGTTAGCCAAACTGTGATATCTCCTGGAAGTCTGGCACATTTTTTGTGCCATATGTGCACGAGTAACTATATTTAATTCTCATTGCCTTGACATACATATGTGGCATGGTCTATGTGTATGAAGTATCTTAAACAGGACCTATTCTATATCTTGCATACAAGAAGACAGAGGGTTTGTTCTTCTTCTTCCTTTTCTTCTGGTTATTTTCATTTGCCTCAGGATGCAACCAAATAAAAACAGGACTTTTTGTGGCTGTGATGATCATGCCAAATAGTTCAGTCCTAACCAACTGTCTTGATCTGCAAAGTGCAGCAGTGTAGTTCTCATTTCACTGATGACATATTTCCAAGGCTTTTAAAAATCAAGTTCAAGAAACAGTCATCACTATCTATGATCCCTAGGACTATGGCAACCTTATGGTATCCCTGCTTTCCTCCCATCATACTATCCCTGCTACTTCATACCAAGTCTTTATAGCTATGAACACAAAGAAAAAACCTGCCATATTCATATTTTACCTCCTGAATGTTATAAGTTTGCAAGTTATACTCTGTGATTGGTTCCAAAAAATACAACATAGTTTTTTGTAAGCTGATAAATGTGCATGTTTTTATACTTGGAACTACTCTGATGCCATACTAAGGCTTAATTCAACTCTTTCCCTCTTTTCTGTAAGGAAATAAACACACAATGTTTCTATATATTTATTTGTTCATTGAATTATTTATTTACTTTTGCCAAAGTAATACACAGACATATTTTTAAAGTCAAATACATCATGGGAAACAAAAGAAAACAGTTATCTTCTCCATTTTTCTGTATTCTTAGGTCCTAACCCACACAAATAACCATTTTTATCTCCTTTAGTTGTTTTTTATGAAACAAAATATTACACATCTGTTTTTTGATTCTTTAGTTTTTTAGATTGTTTAAAGTCTTCCAATAATGAGAAAAGAGGATTGGATTCTGTTGCACAAGCCACTGCTTTTCTGTTTTTTCTATAATACTCTTCTTTCTCCTTCTCACCAGGGTGACAATGGCACATTCAGCAGTCAGCTGAGCAGCACTGAACAGTGTCCGAACAAATCGGTAAATCTGCTTCTGCTCTGGGTTGTGTTTGTCATAGTCTGGTGGCACTTCAGATTTCTAGAAAAAGAAATATTTTCAGATACCTGTTCACCCAGTAGGAGCAAAAGAAAAAAAATCTCATGAAACACAAGGGGATTACCGAAAGAGGGTGAAGGTTTTCATCAAAAATATCTAACAGCATCCTTCCATCTGGGTCCCTGGTGGGGAAAACAACAGAAAATGGAGTTGTCTTTTAAGAATAAATGAGTTCCATTCAAAATACAACAAAAGTCATTTTGATTCAACTATATTTCAGGACAAAATATAACAGACATTGCTGGATAAGTTATGTTTCTTGTGGACAATACTTAATTGCTTTTGTTTTAACAGCCCAAGGAAATAAACAGTTGAATTAAGCAAAAATCTACACTTTAATTTTCTGAGTTTTCAAATGAACCAAATCAAGCAAAAGATTTAAATTTCTTTTAACATCTTGATTCTGAGCAAAGGCCAACAGATCTTCATACACCACTACATAGTAGCTGACAAGAAGTACCAAGGGCGAAAAAGAAAGTTGATGGATCCTTGAGATCAATCTGAAAGTGTCACAACATGCAGCTCAACTACTTCACTGATGAGTTTCACAACCTCACACTGAAAAAGAGGCAACAAGTAGGAAGGCCTCACTCAATAATCTGTAAGCCTGTAAAAGAATGGCTGGTAGTTTCCAGGCTGGTCACTTCAGAGAACCATTTAAAACTTCCACTGTGCACCATGCCTCTGGCTGTGGCCTCTGTAGGGACCTTGTATATCTAACCAGTGACAGCTCCACTTTCATATAATTTGAATTTTATCTAAAAAATGTTCTTTAAAAACCAAATGTGGAAACCACTGCTTCTGGTGCACTGCATGTAATTCCCATCGTCTGTGCTTCCAATGTCAATGAGGCTAAAGAACATCAGAAGGCTTCCAGATCCACCCCAACACACATCCATCACATCAAACACTATGATTTCTGCCTTTTCTGCTCTATAAATTTACCATTATCTCCAAAAATGAAAGAAGAGTAAGCTAGCAAAACAGCTCAATTTTCATTCCTGCATTTGGACAATAGGAATTGTTTTAAAGCTCAGGGAATACTCTCACTTCTCTTCAGATCACAGAAATCTTTCACATTTTGAAAGAGTGCTGGGTACTGACACTTGTGCTTACTTGCACTTGCCTGCATGAACCCAGGCAGCATTGATTTAGATAGACCAGAGTCAAAGAAAGGTTCACACTGAGAGCAGAGCCTGAAAGCATGGGCAGCTCCTTTTAGGTGTCCCTGACTACATATCCTTTGACACTTCATGCCCCAGCCATGAAGAACCAGCAGACCCTCTCACATCCATTATTGCCTCTGCAAGGTTCTCAAGAGGCTGTGTGACACAAACCTAGTGCTGCACCCCATTTTGCTGAGCAGTTGGGGGTCCTGTTCAATTTTCTTGATGAACAAAAGCCCCTGAAAAGCCATCCAGCTACTCCAAAAGTAATTGTAAAAATGAAAGCAGAGATTAGAAATATAAGTGGAGATTAAGAATGTGAGCCAAAATGACTGTGGGGGGAAAAAAAGACCGCATCCTCTGAGATGTGGACTATTTCCTTTCCCTTTCATGGAAAGCTATATAACCCAGATGAGAGCACCATGTTTCTCAAGCTGATGGCTCTATGGCCAGCCAGCACCAAAGGTTTGCTCACTATGATTTGCATAGGAAAGATTCTGTAGTCACACCTCCACTTCCCTAGAGACTTACAGGTGTCAATCAATCTGAATGTCTACAAATGCTCAGTTTTTCTGGCTGAACTTCGCTGACTTTTGGTCCAATTTATTGCCACTAATCTAGAGGAGTAGTAAGACTAACGGTTTGGATAATAGATTGGGTTCAAATTCTAATTACTCAATTTACTACTTATATGCTCTTAATACAATTATTTAATCTCTCTGTGCCTTAATTCCTTGCCAGTAAAATGGAGATACTATCAGTATCACTTCACAGAGCTATTAAAACTAAATGAAGTAATGCATGTAAAAATGGTAAGAATTCTGAGTATGCACTTACTAAAGGTGGCTCTTATCATCACCACCTCTGGCTGAGGATCCATGACTTAAGGATCTATGATAGTATAAGAAGTGGAGCTCGGTGGTAGAGTATGTGCTTAACATGCATGCAACCCTGGATTCAGCACCAAAACAAAAACAAAACTGAGGAATCTCTTAAAGATGCTAATGCAAAACTGGTTTCAAAGCACATCTGAGTTACAGTAGTAATATTATAGGTTAGTTAAGGCTTCATAGTTTAAAAACTTTTCTACCATAGAAATAAACTGCAAGACAAAATGTACATTTTCACTGTTGTTCTAATTCAAGAGTTCTAAGGCTAAATGGAGGGAGTGAAGGAGGGCAAATATGATGGATGTACACTGTATATACATGTAAAAATATATCAACAAAAATGGTTTAAATTGTTCAAAGGGGGAAGGAGGTAGGAGGGAGAATGATGAAGGGGGTGAATCAAATTAAGATACATTGTAAGCACACTGTAAACATCACAATGAAATACCTGAACAACTAATATATGCTAATAGAAATGTAGGGGAAAAAAAAGATTCCAAAGCTATGCTATTTTTAAGTCCTTACATCCAAAATTCTCTAGCACCACAGTAAACCACAAGTCACAACTATACTACAGAATGGAATCATGATAGAGAATACCTTTCCAGGTGTCCGCTTCAGATACTTGTGTTTTCCCAGAATACTGTTTGCTGGAAGCTTGGCTATCCCTCCACTCCCACTCCACTCTCCCCATTTGGGAGCAGCCTGAAGGTGTTGTGGATCCCACTGGTTAAGATCCATGCTTGCTACCTAACTAGTTCATACCAGTTGTACTCATTATACTTATACGTGTAAATATCACATTATTCAGTAAGAAATGACTGCAATAACAGAGGCCTTTGTTCTGAAAACTAACAGGATGCTGTGGATAATTTGGATGCTAAAGAAAATCATTGAAAATAAATTTGCTATAGATTAAGTGAAGCCAAAACCTGAAAAATTCGATATTCAGAATGTTTTTACAAATGTCTTTAAGTTTTCTTACAACTGGGGGAAACAAAAACCACTTAGAAAGGATGAATTATAGATGTGGCTTAATGTCCTAGATTTGAAACAGTTAACATTGAATTGCAAATAAACTGGCAAATAAATGCATTCTTTACATGTTTTGTGTTGAAATAAAATGCTTATGGTAGATTTTTTTTAATTCCCTGTTTTAAACGACTTTTTAAATTAACTGAAACATTGCCAGGTGCATTATATCAGAGAGAGGACTTCTACTACGTTAACATAGTTTATGTTTCGTATACCAAAATTTCCTCAACTGAATTCAAAATATAAATTTAACATTTTCTTCATGTTAAAACTGCATATACAATAATTCTAAAATAACATGTTATAAAAGAGTGTTTAAATAAATTATACAGAAAATAATGAATGAAGAGGCAGCTGGACATTCTCAAGAATGTTTTGTTTCAACCACAAATACCCATTGGTGTCCTGTGACTTGACAGTAGTTCAGCACTTCCCTGGGAAGTCTATGAAAATATGAGTTAAGAATATAAAATCCAAAGGCTATGGCAGCTAGAAAATAACTGGAAAGCATAAAGGAAGATAATGTGTGATGTGTTCAGCATAAAATTCATCATTCACATACCTGTTTTTGATGTGATAATATATTGCAAGAGCTACACTGTAAAATGAAACACAGAAATTCAATGCATCATAAATGTACTCAGTATTTCATATATTATCTGATAACAGTCTGAACATCAATATTTATATAAAAGTCAAACACCTGAAGAGTCCTATTTCATTCAGAACACTGATCAGGAAATTCACTCTTCAAATTAAATCACTTCAATGTTCATTCCTGGGAATATTAAGTCTTTTCTAGAAACAACAGAACTTCAAGTGAAATTTAGAAACAAACTGCTCCACAGAAATAAAAGCTTCATCACTTGTGAAACAGACACTATATAAAAGACGTGGTACAAATTAAACATCTTAGAAATCTCTAACTCATTGCCTACTGGCAATCAGCCTATCTTTGATTTGGACATTCCTCTCCCTTCTGAGTATCCCCTTTCTCTTAAGTGTCAAAGCCCCTGGCTAGAGTAAAGGTTTCGTCCTTGATCATAACCAAAACAAGTGAGAAATGCTGGCACTTGCCAGATGGATTCTGATGCCCTCCCTTTTAGTTGGGGCCCACCTACCCAGATCCCAGACACACATTTTAAAAGATGATACTTTTTAAAGCCACTGAACTATTAACTGAAGGAATTTCAAGTCTGGGAGGTGCAAAGAAAACGTCTTTTGGGTCAGGGGAGCCACATTATCTACACTGAATTACTTGGGCTCCACAGTTAGGTAATTCTAACTGCTGCTGCTTTTAAGCTTCTTTTCCCTCTACATCTTAGCCCAGAGATTATTCAAGCATTTCAAGGAGGTGCTGGTAAGGAAGGGGGAAGGCAGCTGTCCCCTTACACCAAGGTTCCTCAACCTTAGCTGCTTATTGGAACATCTTATGGTGGTTTCAAGGTCCAGATACCCAGGCTACCCCCAGATGTTAGAGAGATAGTGAACATCAGAGTGTTTTTAAGCAGTCTGGGCTGGAACCAGTCAGACATACTTGTAACTTAGGTGCTTGTTCCTCCCAGGCTTGACCAATGAACTATCAACTGTTACCAAGTATTCCTACCAGGCTCTCATGTGTCTATGTCAAAACCAGTGGCAATTTTAAATCATCCAAGGGTGATGTTCAGAACTGAGTCAGATCCATTCTGAGTCTCAAGAGCTCCCACAGTTCTTGAAAACAAGGCTGACTTTACCTTGGTGTCACATCTCACTTCCTGGGAAGAACGGGGAAGCTGGCAGCTCTCATCCTGGACTATCAGAGCTCAAGCAGGTACCAAGAGCAGCATGGTGAACACATCTTCAGGGCTTTCTATTTCTCTCCACAAGGCCAACCCACTTAATCAAGAAAACACTTCCAAGAAGCACTGGCCACCCATTTCCCAGCAGTCAATTTCAGCCCAGAGGAGCAGTATAAGGTTACACAAAAACCTACACTGTGCAGCGAGAACACATCTCTTCCATTTGGGTTTATGCCCACTAGTCATTTACTATACTCAAAGGCCAGGTCAATGAGGGAGAGGCTACATTTCCATTAGAATCTCAGAAGCATGCAGCCCTACAGAGAATGAATTCTACAGAAAAAGCATCACCATCCAAGTGATAGGACACTGTACATCGAAGCTGTTGTAGTAGCCACTACCTGACCAAGGCTGGGATTGTCACATGTAGTTCAGTTCAGAAAGGGGCTTTTAAAAACTTGATTCATTGAAAGAGATCACTTCATATCTAACATGTATTGCCATTAAATGTGTACTTTCTTAAACAAGCATACAAATACAACGTCCCAGATTCCTCACACTTGGGTTGTTGACCACAGGCTCCAACACTTCAAGTGCTCTGAGATACCTACCGTGAGTGGCTGCTGACATTACAAGAAAAACCAGAGAATGATGGAGGGGGTGAATTTAACTAATGTATATTTTAAGCACTTTTGTAAATGTCACAATGTACCCCCAGTAAAATAATATGATAAATAAATTTTAGAAAAATTTTTAAAAGAAATAAAAATAAAAACCAGTGCTCCCTGCCCTCAGGAAACTGAAGCCCCCAAAAGGGAAGTGATTTGATCCAAAGCACCCCCTTCCTCCCTCCTAAAGTCCACTTGAAAATACAGAACTAAAGCCCCATGTTGAATTCCGCTAGAATCTTCTCTGCTGATGAAAGAGCCAAGGGCAGTCTCTCAACTCCAGGCAACACAGTTTACTATGCCAGAAGGTCTAGTGAACTGCAGCCCAAGTCCTCAACTGGGACTACAGGAGCCTTGTTTTATTTAGAAGGCAAACTAAGAGCTGCATTATGCCAAGATGTCTTCAATCAACAATGAAAGGGTAAAAGGTATGCACAAAAATTAAAAAATGTATCTTAGAGGTCATCTATATTTAAAATAATTTAAAATGTTCTTTTTGCATGATGATAATTGTAATTATAAGCACTGTCCTTTGAAAAACACTCTTTAGAAAACTGAATTTTTTATTATTCTATTTTTGTTATTTATATCAATAACTGCGAATTATCTATTTTTGTACTCAATTATATTACAATAATTTACTGTCTTTGTATTTATAAGGTATTATGTATGATATTGATAACTTATGATACCATATAATAAAAACAAGTTAAATAATAAAACAAAAATGTTATTATTTTTATATAAATAGTAATATGCAGAAATATTCCAAACACTGAAGTCTTAACAACCAACCAAAGCCACTTTTTAAAAAGAATTCCTCATTTTCAGTGTTCCTCCCCTCCCCAAATTTTATCACCCCTCCCAGAGCCCACAACCAGCCAGCATCAGTGTAAAGAACAGAAAGAGCATTCAGTTAGGCAGAAATCTTCATACCCACCATTTAATTGTATACTTGAGGTTTGGTTGACTGACTGTGCTATCATCAAGGAAAATAGTGGAGCACGAACTGTATTTCCTTGCTATTTGTCCAGGAGGATGCTAGAAAACAATGCAACAAGACAAAGACAATTACACAGGGTTCGAAATTCTTCCAATGAACATCAACCCTTCATATGAGATCAGGCAACAGAAAGAAAACGTTTTAATGAGAAGTGTTAACACTACCACCACCACCAACAGGACAAAAATACTTTACTATAAAATGAACTTCTTTGTTCTTATACATATAAATTGCCACCACCACCACTCCTAGTCCCCAATCTTCTTCACCAGGAGAACAGTACACATTTACAATCAAGCATCACAGTGATTGTTCCAGAGTCCATAAAACTATGGGACCTCGGTAAAGTATGGAATGTATGGCTCTCTATTTCAAATGAAGCCTGTCATTAGGTGACATCTTAGTTTTATGCTCTACGGTCAAGTCAAAAACCCACCGTCCCAATTTCTCTATTCTTGGGATATAGTTGACCTGGGGGGAATGGAAAATGCAGCCAAGGCTAATTTAAAATCTCCTGGCTAATCTGCTTAAATTTTAGCAAGGGAAGTTAAATAAAAGTATTCCTTTATTAAGGACAAAATGCATTTTGAAGGGAAACATTGTCTGATGCTTTTGAAAGCACAACCTTTACTAATAAACAGTAATTTAATAATAATAAAATGCCTTTAATACTATGCCTGTATACTCTTATGACTGGTTCTTTCACAATTACCTCAGTTTTGAGTTCTGTGGAAAATTTTAGAAGCACTTCCAAAAGGTAATGGTGAAGAAAATAGAGTTTAAATTACACACTGAGTGATAAGCGGATTTTGACAACAGCTTGGGAAACATGATTTGTAGACATCGATCTGGATAAGTCATGGTCAGAAAAAAAATCAAATAATGCAAACAAGTTCCTACTTGCCTGATGCTATGTTGCCAATGTAAGTGTCATTTTCAGCAACCATAAGCCCTTAGGGATCATGAAATTGCCTGCCTGAGCTGCCCACAATTAGCAAAATCCTTGGGGATACACAGTTCATGAATTTAGTCAGGAAGCTTTGATGCCAATTAAAGACCAAATGCCCTGTTCAATGCTTTGACATCTGCTTTCTATTTAATAAATTCCTTCTGTAACAAAATTATGAAAATTTGCAGCAGTCAGAGAAGTACATAAACAATGCCACAAATATAATTTCCTCTCAAACACTAATCAATACTGGTTAGTATTTTGGGTACCGAATTCCTTAAATCACAGCTAGAGGGCACTACACTAATAAAGCATTCTGACCCTCTCCAGCTAGCTCTCACTTTTTAAACAGCATCAAGTCAGAGAAAAATAACTAAGAGTCAGGAACTCTAGTGTTCAGACTTGTTCTTAGGCTTCTCTCTTGAGCTCACACTATTAGGTGCTTGTATAGGAAAGAGCATGAAGAAAAGTTCAAGTTACAACTTAAGTGTTCATTTTAATCTGACATTTCCACATCAAGTGAATCACAACATTCTCATTAAGACAATCCAAAAGCATCAAAAACAATTCTCTTTCTCTTTTAATCTCTTACAGCAATTACCCCCAAATCACATAAGACATATTTAAAAAATAACAATCTATCAAAAGCTATAAAATGGGTGGCAAGCTCTCAAAATCCTTAAGGAATTTCCCTCACAGAGGCAAACATCTACCACAAACAAAATTATCAGTTGGGCAAGGTGTGGCACACCTGCAATTCCACAATATGGGAGGTTGAGGCAAGACGAGAGAGGTCAAGGCTAGTCTGGGCCACAAAAACAACAAAAATCAACACAAGCTATGTTTATCACAAAAATCCAGTAATTGATATGATGATGTCTTTTTAGAGATATGGTTGTTAATAATCCCAACAACAAAGCAAAAGGATTTCACTTCTACTTCTTATAGGGTTTCAACTACACATTTCATTAAGATCAAAATGTGACAGGAACTGCAAAGAACTAGTTTCCCTAAGAAAATACAACCATGAGGTCGGGAAGGAGACAGGTGATGCACTCAGGCAAGTACAGCCTGCATTCCCTTCTAATCTAAGACATCACCTTTGTGGGCTAAGGAGCAGGAACAGCCCGGGGTGGGCACAGACAGAAGGTTCAGAGCATTAACTCGAAGCTAGTCATACAAAGCAACTCAGACCTTTCAGGATCACCCCAGCTGCTAGTTTGAGGATTCAGAACTAAGAGCTGATATGTTGAACCCTTAATTTTTCAAGGGAATGTCAAGTCAGCTTTTAAACTATTTAACAATTTTATGACTAAAAACCCTGAATGTTAAGTTGTAAAGAATTTTGGTTTCGGGGCATCTCATCAACCTAAATACGATTTGGCATTAAGTCATTGAGATTTGTACAATGTAAGTTTCTTTTGACCTGAAACCCTACGCCACTAAGCTGAAATCGCTAGAATCCTTCTACCAGGAAAGCTCTTGAGCCTAGGTCTGCTTGCCTGTTTTGGTTTTTGGTTTGAGTGATTCCTCTTAGGATGTAGCAGATGTGGGTCCTGTGATTCTTTAAACCTCTGAAGGCATAGAAGCATTAGATACATTCACTGAAACATATTTTAGCTTGTTCTTTTTAAGTGGCACACGGTATGTTGGATGGCTCTGTTTTAGTCTAAATATTTTAAAATTTGTTGCCCATGATCTAAAAAAATCACTACACTTATACATGTTAGGGGTGGGGAGGGGTCACTCTTTCACTTAGGCTCCAGTCTCTGCTAGTAAAACACACAGCTGTTAAGATGCACTGGAGAAACAGCAAATACAGTGGTTAAGAAGACAGACACTGGAGCCACAACTTGGGTGTGAATGTGGCCCACTGAAACTACCTATGTGACCTAGGCAGGTCACTTTGCCTCTCTCTCTGAACCATTGTTTCCTTACCTGTAGAACAGAGATGAAAGTAACAGCCCCTTCCTCACAAAGTCATTATGAGGAGTACCTGAGTTAAAAATTTCTAAGTGCTGAAGAGCAGAGCTGACACCTATGCTTAGTAAGAAACCAAATACATTCACCATTTATAAGAATGACAGGAACGCTTTTTATGACTAATGTCCATAACGTTTTAGAACATAAAAGAAAATGCCTAAGACAGTGCCTTACTTGATAAAGATGGTCATAATACTACAGATAGCTTCGAGAGATTTTCTCAAGAATGACAACTATCTCGAGGGCCAACCACAAACTCTGCTTACGAGGAGAGCAGGGTCAGTCTGATTAGTGGGAAGCTCAACTGTGTATTATTTCTAAGGAAATAAATTATTTTTGAAACAATGTGTATTTTACAAATTAAATTACCAAGATGTGGAATTACAGAACTTCAGAGCTACACTGCAATGAGATCATCCAGTCTGCTTATTTATGTAATGTCCACAGTGAAAAATAATTTATTTACATAATGTCCGCAGTACAAGGTCCACTGATACATAAAAATTATTGGAAGAGCTGTCATGTGTCCCAAATAACGAAGATTATCTTCTTAGATAATTCCAATATTGATGTTTGTTATACACAAAGACACACAGACACAGACAACCGCACACATACACATATACGCCTTCTCAAATCCCTAATCTCCCTGTAGGAGTGTGCATCACAGACAAAAAGGACCCACTGTGCCTTGTCTGTTCACCTCTTGCTTGTTCCTCCCTGGCAAGTGGTTTTGCAATACCTCCCAACTTATCTCACACCAGGGCTACTAGTTCCTCCACCTCTTCCATCTGTCTTTCCAAGCTGGCTCACACCCCACATTCCCTTTCCATTCACAAAGAGCTCCCTGCTGCTATACCAAGAAGTGTTTCTCAGCCCTGGTATTAATTTGATTTTTGACTTGAAACTCTTCTTTGCAGTATTGGAGACTGAATCCAGGGCCTCACAAGTGTTCTACCACTTAAGCTACTATATTGTATTTTCTTTTTAAGAGTCTTGCTAACTTTGCCAAGGGTGGCTTCAAATTTGTGATCCTCCTTCTTCCACCTCCTAAATAGCTGGAATTATACACACGCACATGTGGCTCCCTATCTTTCTTGCTATATAGTCTCAGTCCCTTTTGTAAATTTCACTTCTCTGATCCCCATCAAATGGAATGGGCTTTTCTCCTCCTGCTATAATCTCTCTGCTAAGGAGCAGCTCTCTTCTGAGCTCACCCTGCCTGTGTTAAAATGAATCTGTTCCTCCAAATCAACTCTAATGTCTTAAAACCACAGTGCCACAGAACATTCTTGAATCTTCTGCCTTCCTTTCTTTTAAACACTTCCATCAATAGCTGTTGATTCTACTTCCTAAGTACCTTTCAGAAATCATCCTTTCCTCTTACAGTTCTCCAATCACTATAGGGTATCATTTCTCACCTGCATTACTGCAACAGTCATCACCTGCCTCTTGGCTCATTCCTCTCCTCACCATTCCTCTTTCTGCAAAGCAAATTATGGGACTTCCCTGTTTAAATGATCCTGAGGCAGACACTCATCACTCTTCATCTCTCCACATGCAACACTCACTTCCTCCTTCCATGCATGCTGCACCTAATTATGCCTAATTAAACCATGACAGGAACAACATCACTTTTACTTAATGCCCATCACATGTGAGCCAGCAATGTACGTGTATTCATGTACAGTTCACAAGCACACCCAGCAAAGCAGGTAAAATTCCCATTTTATAGACAAAGGAGGTCAGAGAAATAAAGTAACATTTCCAAGGTCAAATCTAAGACACCAGAGCTCAGAGTCATGCTTTGTCTAGCTCCAAAGTCTATGCCTTCTTACATATAGAACTTTGCTGACACCATTCATTCTCCAGAACTCTGCTAACAGCCCTTTGTGGTGCCCCAAGACCTGTATGGGCCCAGTGTCCCTCTCATATTCTATGCGCCCTGTTCTTGCCTTCCACAGCAACGACCACTCTCCACTGTCATTTGCTGCTCACTCACCTATGTTCTAAGGCCTAGACTCTGTCTTGTGGGTAGACTGTATCGTTTTCTTGAATCAGCAAATGAGAAGCAGCTCCATACCTGGGACCAGCATGCCAATGACC